AAAGGGAAACGCCATTTCATCATTTTTTGGGACATTTTCCAACTGAAAGGACTTGGGGAAATTAAATTACTCCACATGCAAAGCAGATTCATGTTTTCTGAAGATGCTTTAAAGTCAGGTATATATTTTTTTCTACAGTGTTAGATTGTTTAAAGTAGCTTCACAAAGCAAGAAACAGAAAAATAACAGAATCAGAGTTGCTCCAATTATGAGGCTAAGTACTAAAGGCGATGAACTAAAAATGCTAGCGACACACTGTTACATGCTAAAACATGTTAGCAACAAATTAACATTTTTATTATTATAATTATTATCTATTATATGATTATTATTGATGTTTAAAACAAACTAGCAACGTGTTACTAACATGCCACAACATGATTAAACAGGCGAACAGCATTAAAAGCTATTACACAATAAAGAATTTACTGTATAAAACATGCATACCAACATGCTACTTGTACGTCACTTTGGATAAAAGTGTTTCTAAATGACTGAATACGTAAATATACATTTAAATATATGTGTTAAAACATGTTATCAACATCCTAAAACATAACAATATGCCCTGTTATTAAAATGGTAAAACTGCTGACAATGTTCAAAAGAACGCTAACTACACATTAGCAACATACTACAAAATAAAAGTACTTTTCTAAAACATCCCTGCTGAAAAATCCAGCTTAAACCAGCCTAGGCTGGTTGGCTGGTTTTAGCTGGTCGACCAGGCTGGTTTTAGAGGGGTTTTGGCCACTTCCAGGCTGGTTTCCAGCCATTTCCAGCCTGGTCTTAGGTGGTCAGGCTGGGAGATGACCAGCTAAAACCAGCTAGACCAGCCTAGCCAAGCTGGGAGTCCAGCCAAGACCAGCTATATCCAGCTTAAACCAGGTTGGTCAAGCTGGTTTTAGCTGGATTTGGCTGATAATTTTCCAGCCTGACCAGCTAAGCCCAAGCTGGAAATGGCTGGAAACCAGCCTGGAAATGGCCAAAACCCCTCTAAAACCAGGCTGGTCAACCAGCTAAAACCAGACAACCAGCCTAGGCTGGTTTAAGCTGGATTTTTCAGCAGGGATGGTAACAACGCAATAAAAAACTGCTGAAATACTAAAATAGATTAGCAAGATGCTAAAACATGACAGAAACATGTTAATGCTTGTTAGCAAAATGCTAATACATACAAACAATGTGATTAAACATGTTAATGCTATTCTAGAAATGTGTCAACTTATTAAAATGCTAAAACTGTGAAAAATGTTCTACAAAGTGTTCACACATTAGCTAGCATCATGCTAGGAAAGTTCTAAAACATAAGCTGCTAAGAACCATCTAAGAAAACATAGTTTCATAAATATAAATACATATTAAAACATGATAGAAACATGTTAAAGCTTGTTAGCAACATGCTAATACATATTATGTGATGAAGCATGGTAATCCTATACTAGCAATGCTAAAACTTTTTTGAAAATGTTGTTCAAATGCTAACTACATGTTAGCAACATGCTAGTACAGTTCTAAAACAAATTGTCATTAAGAATCTGCTAAGAAACTGAAAATATACTATCAACATGTGAAAACATGACAGTAACATGTTAAATCATAGTGGCAACATGCTAATACAAACTAGCAGTTTAATAAAACCTGCTAATTATATGCTAGCAATATACCATGCAATTGAAAAAAAACTGCTGACAATGTCCTTCAATACATTGTCAGTGAAGGTCTAAAAATGGTAAAATGTGCTAAGAGCCTGGTTAAAAATAAAAAAAATACACTAGCAAAATGTTAAAGCATGTTGTTAACATGCTAATATGAACTAGTAAGCAATATGAATAAAACATGCTAATCATATGCTAGCAATGTGCCATGCAAATTCTAAAATGGTTGACAACATCCTACAACACGCTAACTACTATGTTTGCAACATAGTAAAGGTCTAAAAGATGGTGAAATGTGTTAAGAGCCCAGTGAGAAACTGTTGTAAGATGCTCCTAAGAAACAACATACTAGCAACATGTTTAGGCATTGCGTGCTTAAATTGTTCTAAATGCTAAAATAACATAATATAACATGCTAACTACATGTTAGCATCATATTGAAGTTCTATGACATGGTAAAACTTGGTAAGAGCCTGCTAAGAAACTAAAAATATACTAGCAACATTCTAAAACATCACAAAAAACATGTTAAAGCATGTTACCAACATGGTAATACACATTAGCAAGCAATTTTATAAAAACATGCTAATCATATGCTAGCAATGTGTCATGCAAATGCACAAAATGTTGACAACGTCCTATAACATGCTAATTACATGTTAGAAATAGTAAAGGTCTAAAACATGGTAAAATGTGCCAAGTCTGCTAAGAATTTGAATATATACTAGCAACATGCTAAAACGTGTTAGCTAATGCATACTTAAGTTGTTCTAAATGCTAAAACAACATCATACCACATTCTAACTACATGTTAGCTACACAGAAGTTCTAAAACATGGTGAAATGTGCCAAGTCTGCTAAGAATCTGAAAATATACCAACAACAGGCTAAAACGTGTTGGCCAATGCATACTTAAGTTGTTCTAAATGCTAAAATAACATTATACAATATGCTAACTACACGTTAGCAACATAGTGACATTCTAAAACATGGTAAAATGTGCCAAGTCTGCTAAGAATCTGAAAATATACTAGCAACATGCTAAAACGTGTTAGCCAATGCATACTTAAGTTGTTATAAATGCTAAAATAACATCATACAACATGCTAACTACATGTTAGCAACATAGAAGTTCTAAAACATGGAAAAACATGCCAAGTCTGCTAAGAATCTGAAAATATACCAACAACAGGCTAAAACGTGTTGGCCAATGCATACTTGAGTTGTTCTAAATGCTAAAATAACATTATACAACATGCTAACTACACGTTAGCAACATAGTGACATTCTAAAACATGGTAAAATGTGCCAAGTCTGCTAAGAATCTGAAAATATACTAGCAACATGCTAAAACGTGTTAGCCAATGCATACTTAAGTTGTTCTAAATGCTAAAACAACATCATACAACATGCTAACTACATGTTAGCAACATAGAAGTTCTAAAACATGGTAAAATGTGCCAAGTTTGCTAAGAATCTGAAAATGTACCAACAACAGGCTAAAACGTGTTGGCCAATGCATACTTAAGTTGTTCTAAATGCTAAAATAACATCATACAACATGCTAACTACACGTTAGCAACATAGTGACATTCTAAAACATGGTAAAATGTGCCAAGTCTGCTAAGAATCTGAAAATATACTAGCAACATGCTAAAACGTGTTGGCCAATGCATACTTAAGTTGTTCTAAATGCTAAAACAGCATCATACAACATGCTAACTACATGTTAGCAACATAGAAGTTTTAAAACATGGTAAAATGCGCCAAGTTTGCTAAGAATCTGAAAATATACCAACAACAGGGTAAAACATGTTGGCCAATGCATACTTAAGTTGTTCTAAATGCTAAAATAACATCATACAACATGCTAACTACATGTTAGCAACATAGAAGTTCGTAAAATGTGCCAAGTCTGCTAAGAAACTGAAATAGCAACATGCTAAAACGTGTTAGCCAATGCATACCTAAGTTGTTCTAAATGCATTATTCAACATGCTAACTACATGTTAGCAACATAGTGACGTTCTAAATCATGGTAAAATGTGCCAAGTCTGCTAAGAATCTGAAAATATACGAGCAACATGCTAAAACATGTTAGCAAATGCATACTGAAGTTGTTCTAAATGCTAAAACAACATCATACAACATGATAACTACATGCTAGCAGCATATTGACTTTCTAAAACATGGTAAGAGCTGCTAAGAAAACAAAAAATATATATAGTAGAAGCAACATGCTAAATTGTGCTAGCTGAGTTCAAAGTCAAACTAGCAACATATTAAAGCCTTTCTTTTTAATTTTAGGTTTTCTCTGGCTGTTCTGCATGGCTAGATTTTCTCTTGTAGAATGATGAACACATTAATGGTGAATCTTGCATTTCAGCTGAAGACGCTAAAGAAGCATTGAAGTACGGCGTGGATGGAATACTTGTGTCAAACCACGGAGCAAGACAACTCGACGGGGTCCCGGCCACCGTAAGTGTGCAGAAATGAGGCACGATTGTCCTCCAGAGACCCACCAACCCTCTCTAGTCCACTAAACACAGCTCTGGTGTGTGAAATACAGCCGATGGTCAACCAGAGAAACAAAGGTCTGGCTGCGGCCTCAGGTTTTATGAGCACACAGTGGTCAAGAGCACTCAAGAGGATCAGATGAGTGCGAAAAAAATATATATAGACAGACAAGAGATGAGCAGCGGCTGCAGATCCTGCAGTTTTGCTCATATAATTAGTGCTGAGATGATTTTACTGAGGCTGATCCTTCTGGAATGTTCTGTAGTCTTTATTATGTGCCGGTACTAGTGATATGATCAGTTGTAAAAGCATACAGTGGAGGTCAGAATTATTAGAAATTTAAATGATTAAATTGTTTATTTATTATTTGATTGTAAGATCTGTTTAATAAAGATATATTATTTAGCACGTTTGCATTATGTAATAGTTTTAATAACTCATTTCTAATAACTGATTTTTTTTTTTATCTTTGTCATGATGCACATAATATTTGACTAGATATGTTTTAAGACGCTAGTATACAGCTTAAAGTGACATTTAAAGGCTTTACTAGGTTAATTAGGTTAACTAGGCTAGTTAGGGTAATTATGCAGAGCTACTGTTTCATCCCATCCTGATAAACTTCCAGTGAAGGGTTAATGTGACTTTTTTCCATTTTATATGGTTTCTTTTACAGCGTTGATTTTGTAATGTAATTAAAATATAATTAGACTTTGACATTCATTTAGTTGCTCAAGCCTAAAAAAAAAAAAAAAAAAAGTTGTTTACTCGGCAGGCTAGCGCAGAAGCTCCATTGAATATACTGGGGTAAAATAAATGTTCATATTTTAAAGACATGGCGGGGAAATTTAATGCAGTGCTTCGTGTACATTCTGAGACCCACTACATGTCGGATATCACTCAGCCAGTGGAGATCGCTGATTTTCAAAACAGACCTTAAGCCTTGTATGGTGTTTGGGTCTGTGAGACCTGTTTTCAGTTTTTTTCTATAGAAAAATTAAACAATTAATTATTTTTTCAACCTGAAATTTGCTGGCTTTGGCCTATTTTCTGTGAAAAACATAAATCCATAATTTTTCAATGACCGCAGAATCCGAATCAGCCTTTGGCCTAATGTCTCATTTCTGAATGGTACGGTTTAGTTCAGTGCGGTATGGTACTGGTTACCTTTGTCAGGCTTGTGTCTCCATTGCCAAATGGAACCAACGGTACTCGTTTTGATCGGCGTGGTATACAACAGAAAGTTGCAGACGACGTCATTCTCGCTCGAGGAAATGTCAAAGTAAAGCTATTGACCTTATTCTACGCCGACGAGCGGGCGCTGCCTTTTGAATCTTTTTGGCACGAGACTTCCGGTCTCATTCACTTCCATTCATTTTTAGACATTAAAAACTGCTCGTTTCGCTGTTTGATGTTGCAAACTGATATTTCCTTGTTGTATTATTCTACTTGGTCTGTATAGTCATGCAAACATTTGTTTGTAAAGCAAGTAGTTTGACCGTTTTTTCCCGTTTATTATTCCTTGTCATTTCTCCCATAGGCGACTGAAACGGAAGTTCTAAGACAATCGCGAAAACAGGCGCACTTCCGCATTTGAGAATAAGGTCAATACAAGTTGTTCACATATCGTTTAAATAACAGACTCTTTATACACATAAATAGGCCTTTTTTGTATAAGTGGTAATAACTAACTTTTCTATGAACAGGATTTGACCATAGCTGCAGATCAATGATAATGTGAAATAGCCTACTGTAATTTCTGCAATTATATTAAATACAAATTTTAATTTGTAAAACATATATAAACAGGGCATCGCTCTGATTGGTTATTCAGCAACGAATTAAAGTACTAGAACAAAAACGGTGGTAATGCACCTAGGTAAACAATTCAAGTCAAGAAGGAACACAAAGAGGCCAGCTGTAAGACCTCCCCCCACACATTTACATTGCATACAAGGTGTTCGGGTCCACTAGACCCAGGTCTAATAATAGTCTCGAAAGTGTAGGTCCAGTGTTCCTACACTCTGTCTTCCTCCTTTCTGGTGCTGCTGTTTTCTTCCCCTCCCCCTCCTGCTCCCGCACAAAGTTGCAACATTGTTGAAAATACAACTATCAACACTGTCTGCTCTTACATTCCCGCACATTTTACCCTCTCTCTCTTGCGGGAACCAAGCTTTATTTTCTCATACCCTGTCCCATCTGTGAATATAGGGCATAGTACTATAGAAAAGACATTGCCAATGTGGTTGCTTATCAAAACTGATCAAGATGGCCAAAGGATTATCTGCTGCGAGGGCTTTGCAAATGATTGTGGAAGAGAGAGGAGCTTCTGATGATGATGTCCATGATCAGGGTGAGAACAATACATAAAAACAAATCTGTGGGTTTTATTTTTTTCATAACATTAATATATATATAAAAAAAGAAACAAGAAGCACATTAATTCATCAATATGATCTAACAAAGGTAAAGTGGAAAAATAACCGTTTTTGCTGTGCATATGGCTTGTAATTGGGTTAAAATAAACATTTGTTGAGTGATTTAACATAATATTGTTTTATAGTGTTCATTTGGAAAGCCAAAACTCTAGCGCAGGGATCACCAAACTTGTTCCTGGAGGGCCGGTGTCCTGCAGATTTTAGCTCCAACCCTAATCAAACACACCTGAACAAGCTAATCAAGGTCTTACTAGAGCTGCGTCCCAAATCGTATACTTATGCACTATTCTATGCCATTTTGTAGTATAAATAGTGTAAGTAGTGCGTTCACACTGAAAAGTCTAAAAATAAAGAGTGCACTTTAATTACCCGGATGATGCACTCATTCAGCCGGTAAAACGAAGTGTGTAACGATGGACACTTCAAGCACTCAACGGCAGTAGGTTTGCTTACGTAGCGGAAGGGGTGGAGCTATCGGGTGCACATGTTGGATAACTTTATTTATTTTGGATGGTGAAAGCAAAGTTCTCCTATGAGAGTGATTATAGCGCCTCCCAATGGTGAATGCGGATATACTCACGGCAGGTATTATCTGATAATTCTGTCGTTTATTTCACGGATTTGGCAACCGTCAAACGTCATTAGGGAAACGGTTTGAATTTCTGCTTAGTAAAAAAACATTAGTGTGCCATTTGGGACGACACTACATACATATACTATCCTGTTGTAAGTGCATAAGTACATATATGCATGAGTGCATAGTGTATGGTGTGCCACTTGGGACGCAGCATAGGTATACTCGAAACACTCAGGCAGGTGTGTTGAAGCAGGTTGGAGCTAAACCCTGCAGGGACACCGGCCCTCCAGGACCAAGATTGGTGACCCCTGCTCTAGCGGGTCCATCAGACCCATGAACACTGGCTGAGTTTCAAAAATACGAACACCACACAACGGTTAAATGCGCCAATTTTGTAATGACATACAGTTCACCAGAAGCACTTAACCCAGGTTACCGACAAAATAAAAGTCCTTTAGCATACTTCAGCATATACCCTACTAGGAAAAGCAAATGAGGCTAACAATATTGACCTTAAAATTGTAAAAAAAAAAAAAAAAAAAAAACATTTTATTGTTGCCGAAATAAAACAATGAAGACTTTCTCTGTAAAAGGTTCACGAAACCCTTAAGTACTTTTTTTGAGATGTTAACAGATTGGTGTGTGTTGAGCATCAGTTAAGACAATGTTAGCACCTGTTAGCTGTAATTGTTGGAAAAACTGAATAATTTGGAGCTTTTGTCAGATAATTTCAGCTTCTGGGTTTAAAATGATTTTTGGGGCGGATCAAAATAGGTGACGTAGCGCAAAACTGCAAGTGCAAAGATGACGCGACGGTTTCTCGTTATTATTCAAAGCTGAGTTTTCTTATCTTATGAGGAGAGCTGGCTTCTTAATTATTCATGAGAGCAAGTGCTTTCCGAAGGCAAGGCAGACCTGCCAGTGCCAAGCTGTGAGATCCTACCTTGATGACTGGGTGAAAGGGAAGGTGCAGTGTTCGTCTAAATCCTCCAGATTACCAACAGCGCTAATGGTTGAAATAGACAGGGCAAGAGACCTGCTGCACTGAGTTCCTCATTTATAGTGTTTATATGAACACGATTATCTTTATAATGATATAAATTGTTTTAGGGCTTAAATTACTGTTTATTTCTTTGCATTTTAACTTTGTAAACTATAAAATCATGCGCCTCCTCACTGCTTGTGTCTCATTTTTTGAGCCGACTGAAACCAGTTGTTCGCTTTCCCTGCTTCTCCCCTGCTCTGCTGGCCACGCCCACTCCTGCCCTTTGCTCGAAGAGCTCCACACCCATTATGATGCATCTTTTGAAAAAATTCTGAGGTGGACCTAAACCTAAAGTTGGGGGTGTCATGGCTCTTTAAAAATCAATTGAGAAATATTTGAAAATATATATTTATGTTTCTAATAATTTTGCTCTTAACTATATTTGTATGGAATAATGTACATTTAGCTGGTTGTTCTGGTATAATATAGTCAGACAAGATTGTATGAGACATACTAGATGTACATTAACCCATTTATTACGTAACTACTTGCCACAAAAGTAAACTATTAGATACAAAACACTGACCTGTGACCAGCCTCGGCTGGGTCAGTTGGCGTTTCTGTGTGGAGTTTGCATGTTCTCCATGCGTTCGCGTGGGTTTCCTCCGAGTGCTCCGGTTTCCCCCACAGTCCAAAGACATGCGGTACAGGTGAATTGGGTAGGATAAATTGTCCGTAGTATATAAATGTGAATGAGTGTGTGTGGATGTTTCCTAGAGATGGGTTGCAGCTGGAAGGGCATTTGCTGCGTAAAACATATGCTGTATAAGTTGGTGGTTCATTCTGCTGTGGTGACCCCAGCTTAATAAAGGGACTAATCCAAAAAGAAAATGAACAATTGAATATTTTCACACAGAACCCAATACATTGAAATGATAATAATGATATTTTTGGTTTGTATTTGTGTCAGATTGATGCTCTGCCGGAGGTGGTGGCGGCTGTAGCAGGACAGGTGGAGGTGTTCATGGATGGAGGGGTTCGAATGGGCTCAGATGTGCTGAAGGCTTTGGCTTTGGGAGCGAAGGCTGTGTTTATTGGCAGACCTGTCCTGTGGGCGCTTGCATGCCAAGTGAGAAACACTGCACTACATTAAAATAAAAAAGGTTGACTCAACTTAATATTTTAAGGCAACTTGCTGGAGGCTCAGTGGTTAACACTGTGGCCTCACAGCAAGAAGGTCTCTGGTTCGAGTTAGCATTTCTGTGTGGAGTTTGCATGTTCTCCCTGTGTTGACATGGGTTTCCTCCGGGTGCTCCGGTTCAACTCACAGTCCAAACACATGCGCTACAGATGAATTGAATAAGGTTGCAGCTGGAAGGGCATCAGCTGTGTAAAACAGGGGTGACCAACCTTGTTCCTGGAGATCGACCTTCCTGCAGATTACAGATGCAACCCATATTAAACACACCTGCCTGTAATTATCAAGTGCTGTTCAGGTCCTGATTAATTGATACAGGTGTGTTTGATTAGGGTTTGAGCTGAACTCTTTAGAAAGGTCGATCTCCAGGAAAAGGGTTGAGCACCCCTGGTGTAAAACATATGCTGGATAAGTTGTCGGTTCATTCCACTGTGGCGACCCCTAATGAATAAAGGGACTAAACCGAAGGAAATTAATAAATGAATGAATAAAAAAATATGTGCTCTCCTTACAATTTTAAATTGATTCATCTTTCTTGCAGTGTGTTAATATGAGGTTACTGATGTTTCTGTCTTCAGGGTGAGAAAGGAGTCAGTGATGTTCTGGAAATACTGCGCGAGGAACTGCATCTCGCTTTAGCGCTGGCAGGTACTTAATGTTTGGGTGTTGGTATGCACATGGGTCATGCAAATAAAAAATCAATTAATGCATAAAGTTATTAAATTGAAAAAAGCAGCATCATATAAATACTGTTAATGAAATAAAATAGAATTATATATATATATATATATATATATATATATATATATATATATATATATAGATACATACATTCATAAATTTTTTCATAGTTGCAGAAAATAAAATTAATTAATAATTATTGTATTTGCCATAATGACAGTACATAATATTTTACTAGTTATATATGAAAACAGTAGTATTCAGCTTAAAATGCGATTATTTTACCAGAAATTATCCATTTAGATATTATGCATCCCTTCTGCAGGGGGTCCTGGCCAAATTTGGCAGAACAAAACGTTTCAGATACAAAAATACCACAAAACAGTCACATGATTCTCTTCTCACAAGACTTTTAAAAATATTTAGAGATGGAATTGTTTCTAATATGATAACACTCTGCATTTCATTCCTTATTGTAGGGCCAAAGGAGGAAAACGCTGTTTTACCGTACATACTCCAGGAATAGTTAAATGTAATTTATAAGAATTTTGTGTACTATAACTACAAGTACAATATGATAAAAGGCGTATTGTTGGCACATTGCTATTCTGAGGAACTAAAACTGTGCAATAGAGCAGCTCAAAGCAGGTGTAAAGTCCAGCGCAGAGAGTGTTCATTTTGCGCCTCGGTTACACATTGCTTAAAGCACACAGGACGTACAGCAATACACAAATATCTTTACAAATGAAAAAGAATTAAAGGATTTCAATATTACAAAATGATCATTTTCTACATCAATATATAAACCACCGCCTCCATGCCTTCTTCATCCAGGGGACTTTTTTCAGTTTATTGACGACAACTTGCTTTGGTATAATGTTATTATTATTAATAGTATTATTTATTATATGCAAATTTATATTTGTTTTATTAAAAAAACGGGCTTAGCTTTTGCCACCTGTCAGATTTTGGACCATATGGCACACAGCATGCGTGTTTGGATATAACTCAGTTTTTTGAACACACTTCGTTATTACTGTTCTTTTATTTATTTGCTGGAAATTAGAACTGAATTTAGAAATAGTTTTGAAACAAATCTTTGACCTTAACAAACAAAAATAAATATGTAGGCTAATGGATGTCTTCAGCAGAGTGTACAACACTGTTTCTTTATGCACAAAAGAGAGAAAGTGAAAGTAAAGAGGCTGAATGGAGGAGACTCGTTCTTTATCCTCGTGCTGCAGATGCTCTGTTTAACTGTTTTCTCTAGTGAAGCGTTCAGTTTTTCCTCTTACAAAGTCCGCCATGTAAATAGCAAATGCTCCATGGCATGACGCAACTGATTCTTAAAGGGAATGGGAGAGGAGACTCTGATTGGTTTATTCTCAAAACAGACCTAAAACTCATTTAGAGAATAAGCTCAACCCTGTTAGACAACACGCTGTGGCAAAGAATGTATTTTTTCATCCTTAAAATAGCAAAAGTGGATTCAGACAAGCCCTTAATGCTTTCTCGTCATGTGCTTTAGACTTTGCGTCTAGATCGTTAAAATAGGGCACAGCGACTAAGAGGATTATAAATGTGGAGTTTTAGATGAAGCACAAACGAACACCACACATTTTTTTAGACAGGTAACGTTAGTCTTGTTTTTGAGTCTGCCACTATGCTGACACATAGGCATTTGTAGCTCCGCCCTCTTTCTGAAAAGAGCACAATCTCATTTGAATTTAAAGCGACAGTCACCAGATTAGCATCAAAGGGTCAGTTTCAAAGAGTTATATAACATTATTTGTGAGCTCACCCCCTTCACCCCCCCTTCACCCCTCCCCCCCATACATACATATAATATATAGATATTTATATATATATATATAGTTTATTTTTCCCTAATTTCTGTTTAACGGAGAGAAGATTTTTTCCACACATTTCTAAACATATTAGTTTTAATAACTCATTTCTAATAACTGATTTATTTTATCTTTGCCATGATGACAGTAAATAATATTTGACTAGATATTTTTCAAGACACTTCTATACAGCTTAAAGTGACATTTAAAGGCTTAACTAGGTTAATTAAGTTAACTAGTCAAGTTAAGGTAATAAGGCAAGTTATTTTATAACAATGGTTTGTTCTGAAGACTTAAGGGGCTAATAATTTTGACCTTAAAATGGTTCATAAAAAATTAAAAACTGCTTTTATTCTAGCCGACATAAAACAAATAAGTCTTTCTCCAGAAGAAAAAATATTATCAGACATACTGTGAAAATTTCCTTGCTCTGTTAAACATCATTTGGGAAATAATTAAAAACGAAGAGATAAATCAAAGAGTGGCTAATAATTCAGACTTCAACTGTGTGTGTATATATATATATATATATATATATATATATATATATATATATAGATAGATAGATAGATAGATAGATAGATAGATAGATAGATAGATAGATAGATAGATAGATAGATAGATAGATAGATAGATAGATCAGGGCCAGATTCTATTGATATTTATAAAAAGCCTCGCAAGCCGCCACAAAACTGATTGCGGGCCGCAGATGGCCTGCGGGCCGTAGTTTGGACACCCCTGCTTTAGAGGCGTCAGTGACTTATCTAACATTTTGCAAAAACAGGTCCCCTTTAAAAGGCTATACAACACCAAATCTTCTTGGGTTTACATAAAATTCTGAAAAAAAAAAAACACTTTAAAATGCTCATATAAAAGTATAAAAAATAATATACAAATAATAAACTGAAACGAGTCTTGTAAACAGTGTGATCTTGTATTTGTGTCAGGATGTCGCTCACTGAAGGAAGTCAACAGATCCCTTTTGAGAAGACCTGAACTCATTTCCAGGATCTGATGAGCATGTACTGTAAGTGCTGCATGCTGGGAGATTCGCTGCGTTTCAATGACTGGGTGGACTTGTGCAGTTCAAATGAACCCCGAGGATTTGGGCACGACAGATTTAGCATCATGAATAAAACATTTGTGTAAGTCATTTGTGTAGAAGTTTGAATAAATGCATCAAAAGCGTGTGGTTTGTGCATGACAGCAAAATCCTTCCTGTTTACCACAAACATGCAATGTTTAGCAGCCCAGAGCGGTTCTGTGACTCAAAGGGAATATTTTCTTCACTGCGAACACAACCAGGAGGAGTTTCAGATGAAGACTATAACTTAACATGAGCTGAGTTTCTGCACTTTACTACAACTAATACAACTGAACAAAAGCTTTACTATAAATCAAATGATTTAGCTTTTATTCTAATGTTTTCATTTTCTGTGTTATTGTCAGTTTTATTTTTTAATGTTTATATTAGATAACATATAAGATGTTAAGATAATATAAAAAGACTATTGCTTTTATCTACGTCAAAGTATCACAATTTATATATTAAATTATATATATATATATATATATATATATATATATATATATATATATATATATATATATATATATATATATATATAGTACTGTCTGGTTCTCAAATCTTATAGTCATGCGATATTCTGCAATAACAGCACTCCTCGTACAGCCTCTTTACCCTTGTGTATTACTCCTCCCACATAGATAGAGACAAGGAGAAGAGTAAACAACTCACTACAGTTTGACAAATATTGCATCTGTTGGGCAACATAATGTACTTTTGAGGCTTTTTCAGGTGGAAATTTAGTTGTTTAGATTGCAACTATGCAGTATATTTATAAGAACAGTGCCTATTTTCACTATTAGCACACTCACGTCCATCAGCCTGTTATACTGAGCAGAGCGAAGACAGTTGACGTTCTGCCACAAGATGGCGACAGAGACCGCATAATAAGGCTAATGGGAGAAGAATGGCGCACATTTCAAACTATAGCTGATCAAATCATTATAAATCAGGTAAGTGACTCTCTAAGTTGATCTCCCTCTCTGTTATAGTGTTGTATTTATAGTAATCTGCTAGTGTTTGCTTTGCTTTTTCAGGGTTAATTATTGTGATCTCCCAATTGCAAGAGAGAAATACTGGGAAATGTCTGAAGACTGATGGCATTTAATGCTGTTCAGCCTTACAATCTTAAAAATCATCACTTTAGATATTACGCAAGAGAATCATTCAAACACTAGCTCTAATGCGACGTTTGTTAAGGAGCAACGGGTTCTGCTGTTCTGACGTCAACTGCAGATGTGAAGGAATGGTAAAGGAACTTTAAGAGTCTCAGTGTATCGAAAAAATATAGAGGGGCTAATAATTTTGACCTTAAAATGGATTTAAAAAATGTCTAAATTTGCTTATATTCTGCTTTTATTCTAGCTGAAATAAAACAAATTAAACTTTCCCCAGAAGAAAAAATATTATCAGGCATCATTTGGGAAATATTTAAAATTTTTATTTTTTTTTTAATTCAAATGAGGGCTATTAATTCTGAGTTTAACTGTGTGCATATGTGTGTATGTATATATACACACACATATGCATATATGCATACAGTGTTCCCTCTAGAATTTTTTTTCCAGCTGTGGTGGCAGGCTACCCTGATTATTCAGATGCCCCTGCTCTGCTCTGATTGGTCAAATAATCTAATTCTTCTCTGTTTGGTCAGATGTCTAAGTAACCAACATCTTGTTCATGATCTATTACTAATTTATTACGTATAGTTATCATTAAAATACAGTAAACAAGTCATTTATAACTTAACTAACAGCTTGTAATTTATCTGTTGGATATCTATAAGGCACAGATATAAATAATTAGCAAACTTTTAACTATTATTTAACAAGTCATTTATAACTCATTAACTAACAGTTTATTAATGATCTATTAACTAGTTATAACGAATAATTATTCTAAAGTTTTACAGCTGTAGGAAAATTAATGAATGAACTGGCATCCAAATAATAACTAAAAAGCATATAATATACACGATTTAAACGAATGATAAAATGTCAAAAACCTACAACGAATTTGCTAAAACAGAAACCAAAATAGATATATAAAATATTAAATAAAAAAAAAAACTTTATATATATACTAAAATAACACAGTCATGAATATTCTGCCATTGTTGTCTGGTTGTCATGTTGCAGCTGCTTTTCACGTACACTGATCAGAGACATTCAAGCCCTAAGATTTCCCACAAAATAAAAACAATATGGATTTTAAATCAAACAATTGAGCTCATGAAGATTTCATGTTGCCAAAATGCATGAGCATTAGTCATGCACTAACATATTTCCCCAGAAAGCAACAGCAGTAAATGATTATTGTATAATTGATGCCTGTTTTCCCTCTTACATGCACAGATTTCCTCATATTGCACTTGTTATTTCCTCTCCTCTCATTTATTACAGTAATAGTCAATAGTTTTGCTGCAGCAGTGAGCCAGTTCCTCATGAATATGCATTTCTCCCTGGACGGGGCCGAAAGGCAAACAGGTTTGCGAGAGGTTCAGAAAGGTCACGCACAAGGCATGGGATTTCTTTACTAGCTCTTTCCATGGCTGAACCACAGGACCTGAATGAGGCCATTATATGCAGTGACTCTCCGCAGGAAAACAAACTTTGTCAGGGTCTGTTCATTAGCACCTCACACTTTGTCTGAGGGCCTGCTGTGCTGGGGCCGCGAGGGGACCAGAATCAAACACAAGCACACTTTATAGACTTCAAGAGCCTCTGCTTTGTTTACATGTGCCCTACACACTATGAAGAACACGAGGAGCAGTGCGCTTACTGTTGATTAGTATGCACGTTTCATTATAATAGATATCTGTTAAAAAGCAAAAAATATTTACATTCTGTACATGTTATTATTACATTAAGGTATAAGAATAATAACATTATATATTAATTATTATTTTCCTTTGTTGCATATATATATATATATATATACTATAAGATATTAAGCTGCTTACTGATACTGATATTAGTATTGCTTATGTGGCCCTGCTCTGCTCTAATTGGTTGCTATGCTGTTGTTATTTGTCAGATTGTCCTGCTCTGCTGTTATTGGTCAGATGTCCAAGTCTGTTGTGATTGGTCAGATGGTCATACTTTGCTCTGATTGGTTGCACTGCTTTTGCGATTGGTCAGACAGTCTACTTTTGCTCTGATTGGTCGGATGGCCCTACTCTGCTCTGATTGGTTGTTATTGGTCTGATGGCCCTAACCTGCTCTCATTGGTCAGGTCGTCCTACTCTGTTCTGACTGGTTGGTATGCTGTTGCTATTGGTCAGATGGCCCTACTCTGCTCTGATTAGTCAAATAGTCCTACTCTGCTCTGATTGGTCAGATGGCCCAACTCTTCTCTGTTTGGTCAAATGCCCAAGTCTGTTGTGATTGGTCAGATGCTCCCACTCTACTCTGCTTGGTGACGTGGCCCAGTCTGTTGTGACTGGTTGGTATGCTGTTGCTATTGGTCAGATGGTCTTGCTCTGCTCTGATTGGTTAGATGGTCATATTCTGCTCTGATTAGTCAGATTACCAAGTCTGTTGTGATGGTCAGATGCTTCTACTTTGCTCTGATTTGTCAGATAATACTAGTTTCCTCCGATTGGTCAGATGGCCAAGTCTATTGTGATTGGTCACATAGTCCTACTGTGCTTTGATTAAACAGATGGCCAAGTCTGTTTTGACATCAAGTTTGATGTTATTAGTCAGATGGTCCTACTCTGCTCTGATTGGTTGTTATTGGTCTTATGGCCCAAACCTGCTCTCATTGGTCAGATAGTCCTACTCTGCTCTGACTGGTCAAATAGTCCTACTCTTCTCTGTTTGGTCAAATATTCAAGTCTGGTGTGATTGGTCAGATGCTCAAACTCTACTCTGCTTGGTGACATGGCCTAGTCTGTTGTGACTGGTTGGTATGCTGTGGCTATAGGTCAGATGGTCCTACTCTACCCTGATTATTCAGATGTCTCTGCTCTGATTGGTCAAATGTCTAACTCTGTTGTGATTGGTCAGATGCTGCTCCTCTGATTGGTCACATAGCCAATTCTATTGTGATTGGTCATATAGTCCTTCTTTGCTTTGATTGAACAGATGGCCAAGACTGTTTTGACATCAAGTCTAATGTTATTGGTCAGATGGTCCTGCTCTATTCTGATTGGTCAGAAGGTCAAGTTTGTTGTGATTTGTCAGATGGTCATACTTTGCTCTGACTGGTTGCTATGATTACTCAGATGGCTCTTTTCTGCTCTCACTGGTTGCTATGCTGTCGTGATTGGTCAGGTAGTCCTAATCTCCTCTGACTAGTTGCTATGCTGTTGTGATTGGTCAGATGGCCCTACTCTGCTCTGACTGGTTGCTATGCAACTGTGATTGGTCAGATGGTCCTACTTTTCTCTGACTGGTTGCTATGATTGGTCAGATGGCCCTACTATCCTCTGACTGGTTGCCATGCTGTTGTGATTGGTCAGATGGCCCTACACTGCTCTCATTGGTTGCTATGTTGTTGTGATTGGTCAGATAGCTTTACTCTGCTCTCACTGGTTGCTATGCTGTGGTGATTGGTCAGATAGTCCTACTCTCCTCTGAATTGTTGCTATGCTGTTGTTATTGGTCAGATGACCCTACTCTGCTCTGACTGGTTGCTATGATTGGTCAGATGGCCCTACTCTGCTCTCACTGGTTGCTATGCTGTTGTGATTGGTCACATGGCCTTTCTCTACTCTGATTGGTCAGATGGCTAAGTTTGTTGTGAAAAGCTGAAATAATAAACAACTATCTTATTTGATGCGCTGTTGATCTTTAAAATAACCAGTTCTTCAGCTACATTACACACTACATGAATGTTCATGTCCAAAAAAAGCATAATAAGGACACTTTAACACAATCATCATGCAAAGCAATGACATTTACACATTTTTACGTGTTACTTAAGCATGCAAATACTTTTCATTGAAGTCTGTCAACATCTGTTTGCTTTGCCTGTTGATCCAGATCTGTCATATGACTAGCGCTGACACAGCAGGTCACCAGTTATCTCAATATAACCTCGCCTGCGCACCGCAGAAACAG